ATCTATACCATGTATTGAATAACGAGGAGTTATCTCCAAATTATTGGGTTAATGACTGCACAGTGTCAGAAAATAAGCGGTCACGTGGGTTCAGAGGCAAAATCAAATTCCGGTATCTATCTAACTCACTTGGATCCAATCTTCGAAGTAGCAACTAAACCTTCCAAGCATCATCTTGATTTGCAAAATCAAATTTAAATAGATTCTCATAAGGCCGAAACCACATGTCAAAAGTAGCATTAACATCGGGATTGTAGTGGACTTCGGCAATACTGATTGCGATGTCATCAATTGACGGTTCAGTAGTAGAAATATATGTGATAGGTTGCGAAGTATGCGCAACTTTCGTATCTGCCAACATCTGGATATGTTTTAGCTGCTGTTTCAGTAATAATCCTACTTTTGCAGGATCCATGCTTGCACCAGCCTCGTCACCACTGCTTTGTTTGAAGAGGGTACGATGTCACATAGAACCGTCGAACAGAACGAAAGTCAATAACACAAGAACAGGACAAACTAAACTATTCCATTGCGTCCCAAACCTGCTAACTAGAAGACCAGACTCAGCAGTCGGAAGCACTAACCAACAAGCACACAACCCATGCGCATATATACAGTACGGAAATGTCCTTAGGAAACATCACAAAATAGTGTACCAAAAGAGGAAACGAACCAATGACATTCGAAGTCCTCCTAAGTTGGAAATACAAACTGAAGGTAAAACTTGGCGCTTGCTGCGCGAAAATGAGAAACTCAAATCTCCATAATAAAATTACAAAAATGAGGCGTTCACCAGGTGATTTCTGGGGGTCTAGCAAGTAGTTCAGCTGGTATAACTATAAACATGAACTAATTGAGATGACTGAGGTATTCATAATATAACCAAAGTTACTGTTTGGTGATATTCTTTTTCTATGTTTTCCATAAGTATCTCACCTCAAAACGATGAACGTACGAGTTCTTATTTTTGTCTACCTTTCTGCTTGGTAGCTATAATCAACTATCTTTCGACCTTGCAATTGTGGTCATTGACAAGTCAACAGATTGTGTATGTAACTTTAATTGAGCTATACTATCTCATCACTGTGCACAACTGTCAGACATATAATTTCAGTTACAATCGACTAAGTACACTAATCAGTCATTCAAGAATGAGTGATGTTGCTTTAACTTCTTATAAATACTCTCAAACCCATCTAATAGCAGATAAATTACAAAGTTATGCTGATTCAATCACTTTAGTTTCGAGACCAGATATTCACTTGATTGTATTCTATACAGATTGGAAGATTGCCAACATAACTTTAATAACTAATTGGGATGGCTTGAAAAATTTCATTATTCGACTAATTAAGAAAGAATTTGTATAAGTACTCGTGTTTAAACTTTGATTATTGAACACTGAAGCTCTATAATTTCTCTGAGTCAATGATTTATCACTGTGATATTGGTTATATTACTTTCTATAATTAGCAAGGTAATTTAAGACAGTTATAGCTTACAATGACAATACATATTCACCATATATTATCGTTTGATTAACCTGCCTATTTGTCGGCTGTTATATAGTTTTTAACGACTAATTAGTAAGTCCAAGCGGTTTTTTTCATGAAAGACTGTCCTAATTGGAATATCTAACATAAATTTGATTAGAATTCCAATCATACAGGTTTTCTTTCAACCTAGACAATCATTTGTGTATACTGAAAATAATTAAGTATTTTAAATAAGTTATTTACAATAGATTGTTTGAAAAATATTTTGTTCAAAGTTGTTTTGGCATGGGCCTCATTCTCCGATTGTAACTGGCGTTCATAAGACTATACAACTAAGTGCATGGTTGTAGGTTTAAGCTTATATATATAGTGAAAATTACGTATCGATTTATGTGTTGATTCCAAATTTATTTTAATCCTAAGTTGGCACACTTCCTTAGTCATATTACTCACTTACGCCTGTTACCCCTCGTAGAGAAGCATAGACTGTCCACCATCGAACTCTGTCCTGGGTAACCCTCTCCAGTTGCTATTCATCCTTTTGATGTCTGCTTCAAATTCTCGACACACTGTGTTCTCTGATTTTCCTCGTTTCCTTTCCCCTTTAGAATTCCAAGTTAGCGCTTGCTTCGCGATGCAGCCTAATGATTCCCTCAATGTATATCCTATCCACTTCCAACGTCTTTTCCTAATTTCGTCTTGAGCTGGAAGCTGATTTGTCCTTTCCCACATCATTTGGTAGAAGTGATAGTGTTAGTTTGTAATGGACATTATTTCTAATAGCTTTCCAAGACGGATGTTTTTAAGGCATTTTTCGTACATGGTCCCTGTTTTCATTTCTCGGGATAGCTTAATGATGATGTGTTAACTTGGTACACACTATTTTATAATGCGTATATTTACATGCTTAATTACGACTTATCTTAATATAAATCCTTTGATTAATTAAGAAACTGTGTGGTTAATTTACAACGTCATTATTTCATTTTCTTAAATAACTTATCAGAAATTCATGAGATGTTCACATCAAAAACATCTTGATGAAGTGGTCATATTGTACCAGTCATTTGACTGTAATTTAACAGTAGATATATATAACTTGTCTAGAAATTAGATATAACCTGTAATCTCATTCACCGAATGAATGTTTGACTTTAAAGTCTAGTAATTTTTCAACAAGTGGCTTGTGTTTAATGATAGAATTTCGTAAAGATCTCTCGAGGTTATCATCTTGCCTAACCATATTTGTCTTGCTTGTTATCCTTAACTAACCATATTGAGTTATAATTAAAGGGTTATGGAGATTTTTTCATTGAAATTCTGAACTCATATAAGTTATACCACTATTGAAAACGTGGAAGTACCGGACCGCCGTCCAGTCCTAGTATGACATAACCCAATCAAAGATCGACAAGCAACCCTTTCATGTTACCGCCAACTGTATTTATAAATTTACGTGTACTTGCCAAAGCAGCTACATCGGCCGAACTGAAAGGAGAGCATATCTTAGATTCTTTGAACATGTTCCAAAAAGTCTTAGAACAAGGGAAAGAAGGACTCTGAACAGTGCGATCACCAAACATCTCCTTGATACAGGACATCAGGTAGATACCTTACAATCCTTCAGGGTGATTAGTAAGCAGCCAAACTCCAGTCTTCTGAAGTTTGCTGAAGCCATTGCCATCAGGCGACAAAAACCTGACCTATGTATTCAAAAGGAGACGGTGGTTAATCTTTCCTTACCCTGGTGACAAATATTTCTTCACTGAACCTTAAAATTTTTTTATTTTTATTTTCCCTCTTTTTTCTGTTGCATTTATTACATCATTGGTTCTAATTTATTTTTTCAACTATCTTTCAAATTAATAATCTTTCAACTGAACTCTAATCACTATATTCCTATCAATGTTTATTCATTATGTAATCAATTGTTTCTAACCCATTTTTTGAACTGTTGTCACAATTAATGTTGTAGAATATTCTTTCACATTAGGTATATATTTACAATATTCTGTAAGCAATTTAAATCCATTATGCAATTATGATTTTTAAATATCACAGGTTGTAAGCAGCTGACGAGAACCTACGAAATAAAATGAATTCATGCTATTCTGCTAGAATCTTTGTTCTTGCTCTTTTCAATATGACATTCCCTTTACACACTGGAATCGAACTCAGAACTTTTGTTCCCGCTCACCCCCATACTAGGATGCAAAGATCGTATAGTGCTTCCAGGTTTTCAATGGTGGTCTAACTTAGATCTCTTTATGGTTTCAATGATCATCATCTTGAATTTAGATAAGTTAATTCTATTAGATAGTTAGTTATTATGTTGTAAAACATAAAATTCGTGTGATTTAGTAGATAGACAAGTAAAATACACAGTTTACGTTACTCAGATTGAATGAATTAACCGCCGGTTGTCTAATATACCTTCGATAACTTTATCTCTGATCAGCACATTTATGATCTCACTAGTTGGTATGTTAATGTGTCTAGTAGAGTTGCTCTACATGCAATTTATATCATTACAAACTCTAGGTACTCCTAATTTTGAACAAAAAGTATGTGAATGCTCGTAGATTATTAATGATGATAATAATAATGACATAACAATAGTAGTAACAGTCATAGTAATAAGCGTTATAATGATATAGTGTCTACAGTATTTGGAAATCAATAGTTTATTTGTTTGTTTATCAATTAACATTATTATAGTTGTTGTTCAAACTGAAGTGCTACATTTATGATTGAAGCTAATTAATCATGAACTGACATTAACTGAAGAGAATGAAATTTATAGTGTACAAAATCTCTATCAAAACCACTTTAGTGAATAGTTATTACATATGATTAGTAGCACTGAGATAGATCTTATGACACTCTTAGATGAAGTGGTTGATCAATGAAGTTTAACTAATTCACCAGTGAGTTAGTTATCCACCAATAATATTAAATAATAATCTCTTTTCACTAACTAAAGCCCCATTACATATTTTAATAGTGAGTATAATAAGTACTTGAAGTTTCCATGTTCGACCTCATATGATGTCGTTAGAATATGAACTCTTGAAGAGTTACAAACTAAATTGAAATAGTTCATTCTTGTATTGGTTGTTTGAATCTCTTATCGGCATACGATCGTCCTGTGCGAATTGCCTCGATATTGTCTTAGATTACAAGCATTATAAACAAAAAAAGGATGGTGGCTAGTAGTGGAATCCAGGACGCGCGTTTCGTCCTATTTAGGACTCGTCAGTTGGATGTACCTGCATCCTAGAGTTGGTATTCATTCTAGGACTCGAAATGGAAATAGCCATTCAATCTTCACTCCATTTGATATTATTGTATTATGAAATGAAATCTTGAATTGTAGGGAATTTTTACAAAAATTATCTTAATTAGCATTAATTAACATTAATTAATCTATTTCTCTATCTTCATTTATTTATAGGTTTTTGTGCTTAATATTCATTGTTGTTATCAATTTTGTTTATCTTTCAGTGTTCAGAAGATGATCAAAACGATTTATCTAGTCTAATGGATATTTCAGCTGGAATTTTGCGTCTTTTAGATGTAGATACTACTAATAGTAAGAATGAAAGTAAAAAATATCATCAAGACAGTACAGTGAATCTTTCAACTTATAAAAACTGTGATGTTGCTTTGCATACTTTAATACAATTACAAGATGCTTGGATAGCAGCCCCAGTACTAATCGAAATGTTGAATACACTAAATATTAATGAATCAAATGATGATACAATAAATAATTCTAAAGAATTTTATGAAACAATCCAACTTTATTTAACACGTATTCAATCTGCATTGAATGTACAAAGGCATGAATTAAAAACACTAATATCAAATGATTTATGCTTAATTCTAGACAAACCTGTAATATCATTTTCAAAAGAAAATACAGTTGAAAATTTTGAATATTTGTGTGGAGTAAGTGTATATGTTTTAGAATATTTTATTGATATGTAAGTTGGTAGTCGGAAATAATCGTCAGGATACCTTGAACTTAGGTTTCGTGCTATTTAGCAACACTCGTTAGCAAGATGTACCCCTCAATCTTAAAGGAACTAATGCTCGTTGGTTGGTATGAACATACAATATCCAGTTTCTAGGCTTTTCTGTTGACTATCTTCAACCACAGTAACATCACAATATAGTGCACGCGATGTCGAGTCACTTAAATTAGTGGGTACACAAATTGTTCGCTAGAATTCGATCGGTACTAAGAAAGACTTGACATATATGACATTGTTTACTACTAAGTCAAATGGATATATCTTCATTCTAGAGTTGATGTTCATTTATGATACATTCAGCTAACAAGTGCTGAATAGGACAAAACGCCTACTTTGAATTCCATAGCTACCTGCATACCATCGATTCTCCACTAACTTGTGTCATAACTGACTATATCGAGGCAATGTGCACATATGTACATATGCCAAATAAAATCGATCAAAATTCATTTAAAATATTAGCAACAGGATAACACAAACCATCAAAATTTTTATTATTAAACGTTTGAAAACTAATAACGCCTACAATCATAACATATTCATATAGTAGTTATGCCGTGTCCTCCACGTTGTAATTTTGCTAGTCATTAAAACACTTTCGACATAACCTTACGATACCTTAGTTTATCTGTTGAATTTGTCTCTACGTTAACCACTAATCAGCCAGTCAGTCAGTCAGCTACAACGTAGGACCAGGCACATATATGCATCGGTCCAAGTTGCCATACCTCATTAACACAACAAGATGGACACCGGATTCATAGAAGTAGTTAAGTCAGAGGTGGTAATATATAAAAAAAAGATTGCAATAAGGATATAGTACAGGAAGAAGGAATTGCTTCGTAGAAAGAAATATATGACGCGATTTTAATCTCTTAGTTTAAGGAAAGACAGAGAGTGTATACACCGTCGCCACTGTGATCGATTCTGAGACATGTCACTCAGAGTCTCCAATCATGGGTTACGATAGTCACGCGGACCCCAACCAAGTAGTCTGCATCTACCAACATGGTTCAGACTAGAAGTTAGTGAATTCAAGCACTGATGCCACGTTTTGGTTTGGCCACCCCTAACTTTCTTCCAACAATTTCCAGCACCGGTTAGCATTCCATGTTGTGGTAGTCGGTGTTCAGGCATATGTAGCACGTGATCCAACCATCTCAATCGATGAAGATTGACAACCTCATCAACTGATTTGCCATCATTCCCTAATACCCTGCGTCTAAACTCACTATTACTTACCCGGTGATCCCAGCAGACGTCAGTAATATTTCTAAAGCATCTGTGGTCAAATACTAGTAGCTTAAGAGTATCTTTTACTCTTAATGGCCATGTTTCGCTGCCGTAAATTAAAACAGAACGGACTGCCGTGCAGTATACTTGTCTTTTTATTGATAGACCAATATCTCGCCTTCGCTATAGGTGACGTAAGTTGGCAAAAGCCAAACGAGCTTTTCGAATCTGTGCTGAGATTTCGTTGGACACGAACCAATTAGGGCTGATCAGGCTTCCAAGATAAATGAAGTTGTCAACGCGTTCGACTACTTCACTCCCTATCCTTAGTTCAGGTGTTGACCCAGACCAGTCCTGAAGCAACAACTTGCATTTAGAGGGAGAGAAGCGCATCCCAAACATTCTGGCATTGTTGCTTAGTGCTACCAGAAGACTCTGCATTTTGTCAGCGTCTTCACCAAACAGGACTATGTCATCTGCGTATTCTAAGTCGATAAGTGGACCTCCTGGAAGGAGATCAATACCCGAGAATTCAGTCGACGAGAGTGTTATTTCCATCAATAGGTTTATGATGAAGTTAAACAAAAATGGAGAAAGTGGACAGCCTTGACGGACACCACTTGAAGTTGCAAAAGTAGATGACAGTTCGCCATAAGCCCTGACTCGACTAGTAGTGTTCAAGTAAAGAGCCTTCACAAGGTTTATGTATTTCTGGGGTACGCCTTTCAATGACAGACACTGCCACAGAGTCTCGCGGTCTACAGAGTCAAATGCTGCTTTTAAGTCAAGAAAGATCACCATCGTCGGACGCCGATAGGTATGCCTGTGTTCTAGAACCTGACGAATGGTGAATACGTGGTCGATGCAGCCGCGATCAGGTCTGAAGCCAGCTTGGTTCTCTCGTATTTGCTGTTAACGAGTCTTAGTTAGGCGTTTGATAATTATCGAGGCTAGTATTTTAGATACTATATTAGTTAAACTAATCCCTCTGTGGTTGTCACAGGATGATTTTGACCCTCTCTTATATATTAGGACGATAAGTGATTATGACCAGTCAGATAGAATAATGTTTAACTCCCAGATCTTAGCTAAAATATTAGTCAACCTAATCGCTAAAATTGGACCACCATCCTTAAAGACTTCTGGAGCCAATCCATCTGGACCAGCTGCCCTTTCTCGTTTCAGATTAACTATAGCCTTTTGAACTTCTGCTAGAGTTGAGGGACCTACTTCAATGTTCCATTCACATTGTCTGGGAATGGAGGGTAGTTGTAGAGTAGCTGAAGGCCAGCTGAACTGTTCTCTGAAATGTTCCGCCCATCGTTCTAAACGTCTGGACTGGGAGCAGTTGAGAGTGTCGCATTTTTCCGAAATAGTCTAAATTACACTTGACTTATTAATCCTAGTTTCTTTATTAGTCTGTAGAGCTGTCTTGTGTTCCCTATAGCCTCCGCCTTTTCCATCTCTTTTGCTTTCGTTACCCACCACTGCTCACGGTCGTTCCTTATACTTTCGCTTAACCTAGATCTGATTTGCTGTCGCTCTTCATCGTGTTCAGAACCTGATGGGATGAGTTTGCGAGGATCCCTCGGTGCAATGGACCTTGAGGAAATCCATTGGTTCTTCGTAACCCTGTGGTTTAAATCAGTAATAGATGTCCTTACTGTTTCCACAGCTGTTTGTATATCTTTCCAAGCAACATCTGGGTCAACCTCGTTTTCAGAACTACCTAAGTGTGACCTCAGTTGTTCCTGAAACCTACTTTTGGTTTTCTCATTACTCAACTCAGTTCTAATGGGTCTTTTTAATGTGGCTTTTTTGCGTCCAGCGAAACGCAAGCAGATGCGTGCCCGTATTAGGGCGTGGTGGGAGTCCAAGCAGGTACTCCAGAATGAGCGACAATCTTCTACCGACCCTCTCCAACGATGACTGATGGCAATATGGTCTATTTGAGTCCATCACTGGTTTGGTGTAGGGGGTTGCCATGTTAGACGATGTCTCTTCTTATGCTTAAAATTTGTGTTTGCTAAAAATAAACGATTGTCTGAGCACAGTTACAGCAGACGATCACCATTATCTGTTCGCTGTGTCGGAATACTAAAATATCCACCTAAATGCCTTTCTGTTTGGTTTTAACTACCTATCTGGGCATTAAAGTCACCTGTTACGAGTACTATGTCTGAACGTTTAGCTTTCTGAAGAAGTTCAGAAATCTTTCTGTAAAATTCATCTTTCACTTCATCTAAGCTGCAGTCGGTGGGAGCGTAGGCAGAAACGACAAAAAAGGCAATGACATGTGTCCCTATCCTTCCGAGTTCTTACGGAACCGTTTAGCCGAATAACATATAAACGACTGTTGACGGGGATCCACTCTAACAGTGCTTGTTCCGCCCTCATGCTTAGTGCTATGCCTACACCTGCCAGTCCACGAGAACTGGCCATCGGGTCACCAGATAAACGGAGGGTGTATCTCGTTGGCTCTCTGTTTTGCCGAGGTGAGGTCAAGTGAATGACCACACTGGGAGCCTGTATGCGCGTTTTGGAGACACAGCATACATCAATGGTACGAGATTCTAGGGTTCTAGCCAAGGAAGCCGGTTGACCGATTCAACATATGATGCGTACGGTGAAGGCTCCAATGTGTAGTTTGGAGCGAGATTTCAGTAGACCTGGGACAGTGTTTTGCGCACTAGAATCGTTGACTATGGTGACACTTGAGGGGAAAGCCGAAAGAGGAAATTTAGCGTTGAAAGTCGATGTAGGATGAATAATAGGAATTGAAGAGGGAGGTTGATTATGAATACACTGGTCTTGAGTGCTGTTAGAGGTATGAGGGTGGTTATCACTTCCCGGTTGCCCACGCCGTGGAAGGGTTGTTCTGGAGGTACTTGAAAAGGAAATTGGATTAGAGGTGGTCTTAGTGACCTGAGAGCGTGACCGCAGTGCCCAAGGGACAACTGTTTGAGGTCGGTCACACACAACCTTTTTATGGGTAATTTTTGTGTTAGCTCCGTACTTGTTGAGACCTTACCGCCGGAGACGGATATCCGTGGGATAAGGTGAGGTGTGCATTTTTAGGGTCGACCTTTTCTAGCCCCACCCCTCCTTGTGGGAAGGCAGCATCGCTGTCATGTTGGTTGTCTGGAGGTAACACCTTACTGCTGTCACGCCTCTGTACGGTCAGCAGTACGACTTCGCCTTCGGACCTTAGGTTTGTTGCTTTTAGTCTTACTGCTCTTCAACCGACCTGTTTGAAATGGTAGGACCTTGAGGAACGGTTGTTCCAGTCAGTATAGCTCGGTTGCTTCATCACGACAGGCAAGACCGACCACCACTTCAAGGTAGCAACAACGATCGGGATTTCAACATTTAGAATTGTGGATTACATCTCTGTAATTTGTAGTCAGTTCATTCTTAATAATGATTTTGAAAAAGTTATCACAGTAAAACCCCTTAAAAAAATCTTTTTTCACATATGCTTGAACCAGAAAAAGTACCTTAGATTGTAGGTTTGTATGCAAAATAGCCTATAGTTATGATTCTATGTTTTGTAAGTTTACTTGAATAGTTTTTGTCATTATGATAGGCAACATTTCAATGTAATACTTTTGAAATAAGTTAAATAGTTTTCACAGAAATGAAATATTTTTCAGATCTTGGAGAATTTTTTCTACAAAGTGA